TGATGCCAGTCCTTTATTTTACAAACTTCCCCTTGTGACTGCGTATAGGTGTGTCTTACCTTTATTTAGTGGTCTTAGCTTTTGTGATTGTATTTAGGTGTGGTCTTAGCTTGACCTTGTGGTCTTAATTTTTACAGTACTATTGCCTATCTTTCTCATGCCTGCTTGTGACTGAAATCACTCTTAAGGTGTGCCCTTGAAACTAATATATATACACCTACAGTTAGAAATAAAATTGCAGTAGCTACTACCTTCACTACTCAGTGCTGTGAGGTTTCTGACTGTCACCGCCAAACCTGTTTCCACCTTTCTGAAGATCCCTGTTCTCCTCTTAAAATCCAGTCTTTGCTCCCCTATGGTTGGTAGCAAGTGGCGCCCGAACAGGGACCTGAAAGGTAAGCTATTTTTTCTTTTTTCTCTAGTACTCAAAACAGGTGTTTAAGGTAGGCTCTCACTGAAGAAACTGCAGTCCTGCCAGAAAGTAGTCTGGTTAAAGAGTGAGTAATCTTGAAAGTATGGGTCTTTCTGGTTCTAAAGGAAGACGAAAATTCATTTCAGTATTAAGACATATGCTTCTAGAAAGAGGTTTAAAAGTCTCTGAAAATGTTGCTGGGGGATTTTATGATTTTATTCAAAAGGTGGCACCCTGGTATCCTGAAAATGGTAATCTTACTTTAGAAGATTGGAAAAGATTAGGAAGAGATATGAGAAAATATCTGTCTTCTCATAAAGAGGAGATGCCTCCACCTCAGACATTCCCGTTATGGGTACAGATAAGAGATATCTTATTGGAAAAATCTGATTTAGAATTTTTAATAGAAGAAGCCCCCTCAGAACAACATGAGGAAGGAGCCCCCATAAATAAATGTGGCCCACCAAAGTATGGAGCTACATGGGATGATCCTGATGATTGGGATCTAGAAGATGCAGGAAAATATGAGTCAGAGGAATATCACCCTGAGGAATATAATAATCCCCCTCCTCAGGTAATGATTTCTGCTCCTATAAAAAAACATGGAAAGCCGGTTCCAAAGCCAAGAAGGTATTTACCTCCAGTAGGATTTCAAGGTGCCATAGCACAGGCTAAGACAGAAGGGGATATGTCATTTACTTTCCCTGTTGTTCTATATGATGATGAGCAACCAACTTGCGAAGCTTTGCCTTTAAAAACATTAAAAGAATTACAATTGGCAGTAAAAAGTCTGAGACCATCCGCTCCTTATACTATTCAAATCTTAGAAATGATAGGTACTCAATGGCTAACAGTGTATGATTGGTTTCAAACTGCTAAGGCAACTTTGTCCCCAGGAGATTTTGTTCTCTGGAGAACAGAGTATGAAGAGAGAGCTAAAGAAGCAGTTCATAGTAGTTTCGCAAAAAAGGGAGCTAAGCCTACAATGTCCATGCTGCTAGGAAAAAAGGAGTTATTGAATGGATTCATCTCCCCCATGTACAAACCAAAATTTTGACAGCTCAGATCCTCAGGTAAGAAAGAAAAAAGATTTATGTGGGAATTATGATTACAAACTTTGGGATTTACCAATTATAGTGAGACTTTTCAATCTGGTCCAAAAGTTCCAGCTACTGAATGCATTATAAATTATAGGGATATTGATCAGTTTTGGACAACTGAAAATCAATATCCAAAATGGCTTCAATGTATTTTTCCTCCTTAAGGTAGCAAATATCAATTATTACATGATGAAGAAAATATCTGGGATTATTCTACTTCATCTAATTATAATTATACAGCCTACACTAATAATAACACCAATAAATTTAATGGGTATACTTTCAAAGATTCAGAGCCACTTAGAAGATGGTTCTCAGCTGGTTATATTACACCCATTTGGTTTTATACAAAAAATAATACTTATGCAGCTCAGCACACTGAGCTTTTTTGTCTTGCAGCTTCGGCTAATATGATATTGTTTAGAAAACCAAATGAATAGGTATCTCAACCTTTGATAGTGTCAGCATGTATATCTTATCCTTATGCACTATTGTTATGCTATCCTGAAAATTTTCAACTTTTATATAATATTACTTATAAGATATTGGGAAAAAATTGTATTTTAACCAACTGTATATCTTCTGCCTTTAATAAGTCATATTCAATCATGCTTATTGTACAACAGCCTTCCTATGTAATGTTACCTGTACATTTGAATAATGAACCATGGTATGATAATTCTGCAATGCAAGTATTACAATCTCTTAATGCTCTTTTACGCCCTAAAAGTTTTGTAGCAGCATTAACTTTAGGAATTTCAGCACTAATAGCTTTGTTAACTAGCTTTGCAATAGCCACCACAGCCTTAGTACAAGAGGTACATACAGCTAATTATGTTAATGAAATGCAGAAAAATATCACCTTAGCATTGACAGAACAACAACAAATAAACAAGAAGTTTGAATCAAAATTGAATGCATTGGAAGAAGTTTTATTAGCCATAGGCCAAGATGTTAGCAATCTTAAAATTCGAATGGTGACTAAATGTCATGCCAATTATAATTATATTTGTGTTACTCCATTAAAATATAATGCCTCTGAGGAATGGGAAAAGACTCGTTTGCACCTATTAGGCATTTGGAAAAATAACAATGTATCACATGACATTTCCTCACTGCAGTCACAAATTACCTCATTAAGCCAGTCACATCTGGACATCACTTCAGTGGAAGGTTTAACTTCATCCCTATCTTCGTCACTAAAGGCATTAAATCCCCTTTCCTGGGTCCACTATATTATAGTTGGAATTATAATTTTTTGAATTATTTGCATAATTCTAATTCTTTTCCCTTGCTCTTTTAGAATCTTTTCTCAAGCCCTGTCCCAGCTGCAGTCAGAGGTCGCTGTTCTACGGCTGAAAAACAAAAACGCGGGAACTGCCACGACCACTCCAGTGGAGTCTGCGTGACAATGCCGGTCACCTGGCAGAAATCAGACCCGAGGTATCTTCCCCACCGGTTTAAGACCCCTGGAAGTCCTTGGCACACAACGCATGCGAAGTCAGCAGTGAAGAGAATAGCTGGCCTCTCTGCCTGCAGTTTGGGGACATTGGGTTCATTTATAATTCTGTTCTATTTTGTCTTTATTACTATTTGTTCATTATCTGTAGAATTGTATTCTGGGCCCAGGAAAGATCAGGAACAATTAGCTGTTCCTAGAGATGGGGAGGTGTTGGGGCACAAGAGGACGGGCGGCAAAAGTGCTGACCCTGAGCCCCGGCCTGTGAAGTCCTGAAGGTGATCCTGAAGGTGACATGCTGAAGACAGTTGTTTGTTTTACAAACATCCCCTTCTGACTGCGTATAGGTGTTGTCTTACTTTGATTTAGTGGTCTTAGCTTTTGTGATTGTATATAGGTGTGGTCTTATCTTGACTTTGTGGTCTTAGCTTTTACAGTACTATTGTCTTTTTTCTCATGCCTGCTTGTGACTGAAATCACTCTTGAGGTGTGCCCTTGAAACTAATATATACACACCTAGAGTTACAAATAAAATTGCAGCAGCTACTACCTTCACAACTCAGTGCTGTGTGGTTTCTGACTGTCACTGCCGAACCGACTCCCACCTTTCTGAAGATCCCTGTTCTCCTCATGAGATCCAGTCTTTGCTCACCTACAGTCGGTAGCACAACTGTATTCCTTTTTGTGTGTAGGTCTCTGCCAGCCAGAGATTGAAACCCTGTTGTGAGGCACTTGTACCACAGAAGCCCTTAAGGCCTAAGAGAGTGCCTAGCAACTCTGAGTGCACCCAAGCCTGCAGAACTCTGTATACTTGGTGATAGGTTCAGTTTCACGTTAGAACACAAATGCACTTGGCAGAGGGCTTCTGCGGTTTAAAGTACAGTTTTCCCCTGGAAACAGCTTCTTTTGCCTGTTAGCCATTTAAAGCGAAAGCGGTCCGTTTCATGAATGTGAAGTACTCCACAGAGAAAGGTGCTGAAACTCTGTGAGTTAACCAGTGAATTCCACATCTTATGTGGAGTACAACTGTATTCATTTTTGTGTGTAGATCTCTGCCTGGCAGAGATTGAAACACTGTTGTGAGGCACTTGTACCAGAGAAGCCTTAAGGCCTAAGAGAGTACCTAGCAGCTCTGAGTGCACCCAAGCCACCAGAACTCTGTATACTTGGTGATAGGTTCAGTTTGATGTCAGAACACAAACGCACTTTGCAGAGGGCTTCTGCGGTTTAAAGTACAGTTTTCCCCTGGAAACAGCTTCTTTTGCCTGTTAGCCATTTTAAGCAAAAGCGGTCAGTTTCATGAATGTGAAGTACTCCACAGAGAAAGGTGCTGCAACTCTGTGAGTTTACCAGTGAAGTCCACATCTTATGTGGAGTACAACTGTATTCCGTTTTGTGTGAAAGTCTCTGCCTGCCAGAGATTGAAACACTGCTGTGAGGTAGTTGTTCTGGAGAAGACCTTAAGGCCTAAGAGAGTGCCTAGCAGCTCTGAGTGCACACAAGCCTCCAGAACTCTGTATACTTGGTGATAGGTTCAGATTGACGTTAGAACCCAAACAGCCTTTGCAGAGGGCTTCTGCGATTTAAAGTGCAGTTTTCCCCGGGAAACAGCTTCTTTCTCCACTTAGCCGTTTAAAGTGAAAGTGGTCAGTATCTTCCATGTGAAGTATTCCACGAGAAAGGTGCTGCAACTCTGTGAGTTTACCAGTGAAGTATACATCTTGGGTGGAGTACAACTGAATTCCTTTCTGTTTGTAGGTCTTTGCCTGACAGAGATTGAAACACTGTTGAGAGGCCCTTGTACCAGAAAGCCGTTAAGGTCTAAGAGAGTGCCTAGGAGGTCTGAGTGCCCACAAGCCTCCAGAACTCTGTATACTTGGTGGTAAGTTCAGTTTGACATTAGAACACAAACACACTTGGAATGGGGCTTCTGCGGTTTAAAGTGCAGTTTTCCCCGGGAAACAGCTTCTCTCGCTGCTTAGCCGTTTAAAGCGAAAGCAATCAGTTTCATGAATGTGAAGTACTCCACGAGAAAGGTGCTGCAACTCTGTGAGTTTACCAGTGAAGTCACCTCTTCTGTGGAGTACAACTGTATTCCTTTTTGTTTGTAGGTCTCTGCCTGGCAGAGATTGAAACCCTGTTGTGAGCCCTTGCACCAGAGAAGACCTTAAGTCCTAAGAGAGTGCCTAGAAGGTCTGAGTGCCCACAAGCCTCCAGAACTCTGTATACTTGGCGATAGGTTCAATTTGACGTTACAACACAAATGCACTTGCAGAGGTCTTTTGCGATTTAAGCTGCAGTTTTCACCGGGAAAGAGCTTCTTTCACTGCTTAGCCATTTAAATCGAAAGCGGTCAGTTTGATGAATATGAAGTACTCCACAGAGAAAGGTGCTGCACCTCTGAGTCTCCTCATGAAGGCCACATCATATATGGAGTACAACTGTATTCCTTTTTGTTTGTCGGTCTCTGCCGGGCATAGATTGAAACACTGTTCTGAGGCACTTGTGCCAGAAAAGCCCTTAAGTCCTAAGAGAGTGCCTAGCAGCTCTGAGTGCACACAAGCTTCCAGCACTCCGTATACTTGGTGATAGGTTCAGTTTGACATTACCGTACAACCGCACTTGGCATAGGGCTTCTGCAGTTTAATGTGCTGTTTTGCCTGGGAAAGTGCTTCTTTGGCCTGTTAGTGATTTAAAGCAAAAGTATCAGTTGCATGAATGTGAGATACTCCACCGAGAAAGGTGCTGCAACTCTGAGTCTCCCAGTGAACTCCACTTCTTATATGGAGTACAACTCTATTGCTTTTTGTTTGTAGTTCTCTGCCTGGCACTTATTGAAACACTGTTGTGAGGCACTTGTGCTAGAAAAGCCTTTAATGCCTAAGAGAGTGCCTAGCATCTCAGAGCCCCCCCCCAGGCATCCAGAACTCTGTACACTTTTTTTTTTAGATTCACTTTGTGGTAACAATCAAACACACTTTTCGGAGTTCTTTTGCAGTTTAAATCGCAGTTGTTCTTGTGAAGCAGCTTCTTTCACAGCTTAGCCAATTTTTACCAAAGACATCAGTTCTCTGAATGGGAAGTACTCCATAGAGCAAGGGACTGCAACTCTTTCAGTTGAACTGTGAAGTCCACATTTCCTATGCAGTGCAACTCTATTGCTTCTTTTGTTTAGTCTCTGTCTAGCATAGATTGAAGAACTGTTGTAAGAGGCTTGTAGCCAGAAAAGTTCTTAGGCTTAAGAGAGTGCTTAACTGCTCTGATTCCACACAATCCTCCAGAACACTTCAAACTTGCTTGAGGGGTTCACTTTGAAGTTAGAAAGCAAATGCACTTTTCAGAGTGCTTCTGTGGTTTAAACTAAACTTTGCCCCAGTAAGCAGCTTGTTTCACTGCTTAGCCCAGTGAAACCAAAGCAGTTAGTTTCCTGAATGTGATGTACTCCACAGAGTAAGGAGCTGCAGCTCTGTCAGTTTAGCAATGAAGTCCACTTCTCAC